TGACAACCCCTTTAACACGCCGGATTGCGAGTATTTGTTATTTGTGTGCAGGTGTTGTTTACATAGTGTGAGGAGGTTCTCCTACTGGTTCGATAACCTTGGTCTCATCACTGAGGGAAATACCTACCGTCGCTATACTGCATCATCCCTTCCTCTTTGGATAAATACCGACGTAGTTCGAGCAGACATTAAAAGTAATTTCTGGCACCATTGCTGGGGAGGATCAAGTCAAGATAGTCCCCTGTCAACTAGCCATTTCTGGCGTCGTTGCCGGGGAGGATCTTCAACATCAACCAGGTTCCTAGTCACAAATCTCATCTCGTCACAATTTACATTATTTGCAATTTGCCTCTCGTTTTCCTCTCCCCCACTTCACAAAGATTTGTTGTTTTATCCGCCCTCTTTTTCGTTCGCCGTTTTCTCATCAGTTCTGTTTTTGTGTGCAATCTTGTTCACCACTTTGTGTCGTTATGGATTTCTCTTCTTCTATTACGTGCACCCCGAGAACGAGGTTCTCAACTTTAAACAAAGGGGAGGAGAAAATTTAAAAGATGCTTGGTATAGGATTTGTAATGCTCATAATAGATCTATCCGTAAGCAATCTACCATTGTTCTTCTTCATTGTTTTTATGTGTGCATTACCACTTGGTACAGATTTGTCCTTGATACGATTACTGGTGGGAATTTCTTGATGTGTCATTCTCTTGATGCTTTCAATGCTTTGGGAAATTTAGTGGGTTCACCACCACTCGTGATCAATGAAACAATATTGACTCTCGAGCATGTTATGGAAAGACTAGACGCTATTGAAAATAAAATGCTTACCATAGACATATTGAAAACTTGGATAGAAAAATGCAAAGTTATGCTACTAAAGTTGGGTCAAAAGCGGGAAACTTTTTTAAGTTGCTAAAAGAAAAGGGAACTATAATTCATGAAAGAATCGAAGAAAGCCCGTCTAGGATTGATAAACTGGAAGAAATTTTTTCTAATCTAGGAACGGCTTTTGCTTCCGCTAAAACCCCCGTGAAAATTAGCAAGACTACTCAAGCCACTAAAAAGAAAGGTGCAACTTCTAGCAATGATAAAGGAGATCTTAAGATGATTAATATCCATCCCAACTTTACTGAAGTCGTAAGAGACCTTTTTTGCGAAAATAAGTTTTTCAATCTCATGCCTAGAAGTATTGTCACTGAGAATTTATATGCAAAATCCTTGAAAAATCCTAAGTGTTCGATCAAAGAATTGGACAAGGATGACAATAATTAGATCCTATGCGTTACGCCTAGCTAGGGGCGTAAAACGATAGCGCTTGTTGGGAGTCAATCCAATGAATAAATTTTATTTTTGCTTTTTGCTTTCTGTTCTTGAGTGTTAGCACAATTATGCTACTGTTATGATTGTGTTTTTTGTGTTTTAGTAAGTGTTTGTGCCAAGCAAGGCCTTTGGGAAGATTTGGCCTAACCCCTAGCGCATTAATGTCTGAATCATTCTTAGGTTTTATCGCTGCAATATTGCGAATCATCTCCATGGCCCTCTCAACCTCTAAGTCTAGCAAGTCATTAACCGATTTAGCTACTTCTTTCCCATTTTTACCCAAAGAAACGCCCAATTTAATTTCATCATCAAAAAAATGTAAAAATGAGCAACTTGTATTAACTGCCATACCTATAGTGGCCTCGATGTCACGAAGCTTGGCCGCCCGCATGGCACGCCCCAACTACAAGTCATCAGCATTCGATTGAGCCTGAATCCGGAGGCTCACCCGTCGGTCCCCGGACATGGGGTCCGGAATCCGTCCAAAGGTGATGATGTCATCAGTGGTAGGCCTAGTTGGGCTGTGTGGCCGCCAACCTGGTGCTCAACTGTAGCTACCGCCACCGAGGCAGTTGGGGCGTGGCCTCCTGCCAGGTGCCCAACTGTACCCATCGCCACCGAAACAGCTGGTGGCGCCCTCACAGTCGACAGCGCGCTCTGCTGGCGCGAACCATGTGACGAGACCGTCTGTCGGTGCTGAACCTCAGAGGAAGTAGCCATGTCTGCATGAGCAGCTCCCTTCGCCGAGGCACCCCCCACCGGTCCTGGTGAGGGTCTGTGACGGCGTCGACGGCAACGGGCTAGTGGGGCGTGACGAGGCCTCCTGCCAAGTGTCCTCCACCACTCCCGCCTGAAGTACCCGCTACGGCGTCAAGGGCAGCGTTGGCGATGCGGTCCGCACCGCAACTGTATCCACAACCAGTTGTGTCAGCGCACCTAAAAAAGCCATCGGTGACAAAGGTGGTAGCTCTTGCTCCGCAAGGTCGTCCATCTCGGCCCTGTGCCCCCAAAGACGACCGGGAGCAGAAGATGTGCCAAGGAACCGAACCTCAGAGTGTTCATCGATGTCGACGGGGGCGCCGCCCCCTTGCCTGCAGTAGCCAGACCCGACTGGGCCGACTGTCCCTCTGCCCTCTTAGCAGCATCGCTCCCACTGTTACCCGCACGCTTATCCCAGTTCCCACTGCCATCATCACTCTCTACCATGTGCACATCATTATTCTCATCCACCCCATCAAACAACGGGGGACCCTCAATCTCAACCTCAAGGTCATACATCATGCCCGCATGGGTCCATCTCACAATGTCCGGAACCAACTCAAAGTCAGCAACACTGACAAGCAGACGAGCCACGCCCTGGGCACGGGTGAAAGACATGTCAACCTTATCTGTGTTGCCAATAAGTGACCCCAGACTCCAGGTGACCAAAAACATTCAGGGGCTTAGGCGGTGCCCCCGAGGAATAGGACCCAGGATGCTTTACCTCATGAATAGTGAACAGAATAGTAGCAGCAGTGAGTAATATAGAAAGTGCTAACTCCGTTCGGAGATAATTTTCGCTCAAACGGATGTATCTGGACTCGTAAACATTCTCTATTGATGACAGATACATCGATTTGAGCAACAGTTATTTTCGGTTGAACTCGTAAACATTCTCTACTGTGCATCCTGTCCTGAGAGAGGCTGATGCTTGGAAGCCTAATACCGAAAGGGATAAAAAAATATCGCGAGCATTTCGATCTTAGCTTTGGGTTGCTGCCCTTCCAAGTTCGAAGGTCCTTCATGACTTTGCCTTGAAGGAGAGACGAAATTTTTGTTTTCTCAACACAGGTTTGGATTAGTTGCACCTATACCTGGCCAAACCTCGGGCCGGGCCTAGCCAAGCCCGACACAAAAAACCCAGGCCCGGGCCCGGGCCGGCCTGGCCATCGGGCCTGTGTTTCTGGGCCCGAGCCCGGCCCAAGCACGTAAAAGCCCGTGGGGCTTCGGGCCAGCCCGGCCCGACCTTCAGAAAAATGAAAAAACGACGGGCCCGGGCCCAGCCCGGCCCGGCCTTCAGGCTCAAAAACTAGGCCCGAGCCCGGCCCAGGGGCAGCGTCGGGCCGGGCCGGGCCGGGCTTCCCATGGCCAGGACTAGTTGCACCAAACGAATTTATTGTGCAGATGTGGTAGTAGTAGGTTGCAAGCGATCGGATGCATCATAAGCTTTGACTTCTTAACATTAGCGTTGCGAACGCTTGTTACTCGTAGCTTCTCACTGAGTATCACATGCTCCTATCTGAAGATGGTGTGTATGACGAAGGTATTCCCTTCACAGTTTTTTCTTCCAAAAATCAAGGCGCACATTCTTAGCCCCCGCATGATCCAGCCGACGAATTCGAATTTGAGAAACTAGCAGCGATTAACCAATTACCAGGTGGGATTAACAATTAAACATACTAACAAACTAATTAGCGACCAAACAGGTGGGATTAACAGTCTCCAAGCAAATGCTGAAGAATCTGTAAATTCAGGAAGCTTGATCTTAGCCCCAGTCTTGCACCTTACTGCGCCATCTATTAAGGTCAGACACATTGCATTCAACATGACATTTTACCAGGCTCCGGTAAAACTTGACTGCTAGAGGATGTTGCCCCTTTAGTTGTCAGATAACGACTTCTTCGAAGATTATGTTGCGCTCCATGGATCCTTTGTTTGACCTGATGATCAATTGGTAAACAATCTTCATTCAGTTCAGACTGCACAAACGCCATTGCTCTCACTCACCCAACAATACTTACTGGTAGTGATCAGAAACCAAGCGCTAGCTGTTCTACTAAGAAATTTTCTGAAATTTTCAATGTGACAGGAGAACCAAAACATAAGATGTAGTGATAATTAGAACAGTGTCATCAACATGAGCAGTATATGGATAAGTCCATTATCATATTGTTTTCAGTTGTCCTCTAGATATGTTTGGATTTTGATTTTGATACAGTCAAATCAACATGAGCAGTATATGGATAAATCCATTATCATAAGCTTCTGTGCACAGGCGCTATTTCATAACGGAATATTGGATAGCTTCACATGCCTACAGAGAAGTGGAAAAGGATTGAAAGTAATGATTCACAGTAGGTAGAGTATAGTTAGTTCTTTATCAAAGTCGACTGTTTAACCTCAAATATGATGTTTAACTGGAAATGGTTTAACTATTGTGCACATCAGCAAGAGAAGGATCATCTAGGGATAAAAAAAGGATAGTAAGCCAGAATTTCCTCTTCAAATCTACTATATAGTAAACTGTACTGTTCAAAAACATGTTGGAAATTTAAATGCAGAAAAGAATCATTAAGTTCGGGGCAAAGCATCATAGTAGAAGGAATTGGTCATATAAAAAAAAAAGGGCAACCTGGTGCATGTAGCTCCCGCTTGCGCAGGGTCCAGGGAAGGGTCCGACCACTTTGGGTCTATAGTACGCAGCCTTTCCCTACATTTCTGTAAGAGGCTGTTTCCAGGACTTGAACCCATGACCTCATGGTCACAAGGCAGCAGCTTTACCACTGCACAAAACATGTTGGAATTGGTCATATAGCAGAAAAAAAAGGATTTAGTTTTTTGAAAACTTGAATTGTTGAGAACCAATGCAGAAAACGGTAAGAACAACTTACATGCTGTTGTCGCAATAGTTGAAGCTAAAGGAGTCAACAATTGTCCTTTTCGTAGTAGGAACTTGCTCTAATAATGTAGACCTGCATCTTTTATGTAATAGAGGTTGCATTGTTAGTCATAGTAAATTAATATACATGGATCGTCCTTATCAATATGTCTTAATGATCCCTTTTTGTTCATTTGTAATTCCAGTTTCGGAAAGCAGTAACTCAATCAACATCACATCATTGTTTGACTGCACAAAAGCATTGAACTTAAAACGTGAATAACACCAGTAACTCAGCAATCAATTTTTTTAGAAACTTTAGAATCATAATGCTCATTTTGAACTCCATAAGAAATGACTTATCAACTCAAACCGCTTGTGGTTTTAAGAGATACCTCGAGTTCCAAACGTGGCTCTAGAACAACTTTTAGAATCTCACCTTGAACTTTGTCCTCTGAACTAGCTGAAACACCAAGCAATCACCATCAGCCAGCTTGTGAGCGATGGCGAACAAGGCCCACCCAGCGCCGATGGCATTACGTTTGGCAAGGTAACGCACGGGAAACTCCCCATCCTCTTCATCCACCAGAAAGATCATCTCATCAAACCATGATAGATAAGTCTTCTTGAATTGCCGCGGGATGGTCTGCAAGACATCGGACCAAATCAACATCGAGTAAGCCATTGCCGTCTAGATGGGATGGAAATAATGCATCGTCAATTGTGGTCTTCTTGCTTTACCAGCAAGCAACCCGTGGCATAACTACGGGTCATGGGCTTGATGAAAGAGGGGTGGTCAGAGCACAGCTGGTTCTTGAGCTCTTTGGCCTTGGTGAAGGCGTCGTCTCTAGCTTCGTCGGTCGCGTACACACGATCAGGTGGTAATCCCCTTGTATCAACATTAACAATTTAACATATGCCCCGTTGAAAGTTAAGCAAGATTCAGACTAGTGAGTAACCCATATTCTTATGCATCACAGATTTCGATGGAAAGAACAGTTTGGGCGAGACATGGGCGTACCTCGGGGATTTCTTGTCGCGGTAATCTGGTTGCTTGGGGAGACTGGCGACGCGGCCGGACCGCCGGGTCGGGGCCGGCGGCGGGCGAAGATACCGCAGCTTCAGCTCCTTGTTCTGCGGCACCAAGCAAATCATACGGGGTAAGGAACCGGACAGCGAAGCACCTCTTTTGTGACGAAGGAGGCATGGGCTTGAACTGACCGGCATGGGCTTGACGGCGGCGTCGCGGACGGCGGCGGAGAGGCGGTGCAGGCGCAGCTCCTCCAGCTTCCGCTTGTTCTCCTCCACCTGCCTCCTGCGCTGCTCCTCGTACGAGTTGGGTTCAGCCATGGCGCTCCGGCTGCCGACGTTGGGGGAGCGAGGTGGGGGTGGGGAAACGGGGCGATTTGGGGGAGGGCGGCGCCGTTCAAATCTTGAACAAAGGAGGAAGACAAGGTCGTTCTGAAATTTATGCCGCGGAATTTTAGCAAGCTTGGGCTTGGGCCGTCCCCGTTGTCCATCTGTCCGTCGGCCGCTTAGGCGGGCTTGTCAGGGCCTGGGTAACTAACTAACGAACTAACGGTTACCAGTTAGCAGGCTTTGGTGATGGTCGCTTTTTTTTTTTGCCTGAGAGCAATGCCAAGTGATGCGTCCCGTCACCGTCACGTATCGTGTGCTGGGTGCTATTTTAAGATTTTTATACCTTTTTGGGTTATAGATTTTTATTTGACTTTTTTGTTTTTCCCATGGTTTTTACTAGGTTTTGAAGGAATTTTTTTCGAGAAGCAAATGCTTTTCTGTGATAAGTACAGCATGTGCTTCTACGAGAAGCAAAATTGTGCTTCTCAAAAAAAAGTACAGCCTATGCTTCCACGCGAAGCACAAACATGCTTCCGAAAAAGGAAAATGCATATTTATGTTTCTGCGATAAGCATAACTTGTCTTTCCACAAGAAGCATGGCTCTGCTTCCCCGAAAAAGGAAAAAACATAACATGTGGTTTCACGAGAAACACAACTATGCATCCCCGTAAATGGAAAAGCATAGTCTATGTTTACGCGAGAAGCACAACTATGCTTCCCGAAAAGGGACATGGACAGCTGTGCTTAAAAAAATAAGTGAAAACGCACAACTTTGCTTCCGGGTTTTTTTTTGGTTTTCAAAATTCTTTTCGGTTACTTTTTTGGTTTCCTTTTATTATTATTTTAAAAAAATCTGTTTTTTTATTCCTATTTTTGGGCGTTTCCATAAAAAAGGTTCATTGAAAACTATTAACATTACATCTAGCTTCAAATGTCTCGGCGTGGGAAATCCAACAGTGAATAGGGTTCGTGATTTGGATGCATGGTTCAAGATAAAACATTTGAAAATGAATCTAAAAAAAGTGAAAAGTGAAGTGACCTTTTCAAGGGGTACACTTAATTAGTTATCTCGGGGATTGGCCATCTCGAGTGCTTCTCTCTCTAAAGATAAAGTCATCCGCAATGCAAAGTGCTAGCTTAACTAAAAATAAATCATGACAGTAGGTGCATATAGATTACCTGAGTTTCATAGGGTTTCCTATGGTTCCAAACAATACTTCGGCGATCGCGTTGAAGTCCATGTAAAACCTATCCGGCGGTTGGAGTTCTCACGCAGCTGGGAGTCTTATCTTGGTCTGCCACCGTAGCTCACTCGCATGGTGGATCCACCACCGCAAGCGACTATGGGTACTAAGAAAAGGGGTTAGAGGGAGAGAAGGTCTACACAGGGGAGAAGGAAGGAATATATGAGGGGGAGGAAGTAGGAAAGCTGAGATGAGGGCGGCGAGGGAAATGACGGCTGAGGGAGATGGAAAGGGTGAGAGCAAAGGGAGTATGGGTGAAGGCGGGGAGGAAGAGACTAGAGTGCAATCATGCCCTTAATCATATTTTGATGTTAGTGATAATATACATAGAGGACTAATCATGTTTGTTTAGCGAATACACATGTTATTAGTCCCTTTCTCATCAATGTATGGATCAAGGACCCTGTATATGACTCAAGCCTGGTGAAAACGGGAAAAGAAGCATAGCTTTTTTTGGTTAAGCTTGAGTTATAGGGATCCACACATCAAGGGGTTCGTGAAAGATTTGCTCAAAGTCAACATTTTTACTACATCATCACTACTCCTATACTTCCTCCGTTTTTATTACTTCGCATATTAGGTTTGTCTAAAGTCAAATTTTATATACTTTAAACAAGTTTGTACAAAAATATATTAACATATACACCAACATATATATCACTGGATTCATATAAATTTGTTATTGTAAATGTTCATATTATTTTCTACAAACTTGGTCAAACTTTCTAAAGTTTAATTTCAGTCAAAGCTAATATGCTGAGTAAATAAAAGAAGAGGGAGTGAAGGAAATATGCCCTAGAGGCAATAATAAAGTTGTTATTTATATTTCCTTATATCATAATAAATGTTTATTATTCATGCTAGAATTGTAGTAACCGGAAACTTGATACATGTGTGAATACATAGACAAAATAAAGTGTCCCTAGTATGCCTCTACTAGACTAGCTTGTTAATCAAAGATGGTTAAGTTTCCTGACCATAGACATGTGTTGTCATTTGATGAATGAGATCACGTCATTAGGAGAATGATGTGATGGACAAGATCCATCTGTTAGCTTAGCATAAATGATCATTTAGTTTTATTGCTATTCCTTTCATCACGACTTATACATGTTCCTCTGACTATGAGATTATGCAACTCCCGAATACCGGAGGAACACCTTGTGTGCTATCAAACGTCACAACGTAACTGGGTGATTATAAAGATGCTCTACAGGTGTCTCCAAAGGTGTTTGTTGGGTTGGCATAGATCGAGATTAGGATTTGTCACTTCGTGTATTGGAGAGGTATCTCTGGGCCCTCTCGGTAATGCTCATCACTATAAGCCTTGCAAGCATTGTGACTATAATGAGTTAGTTGCGGGATGATGCATTACGGAACGAGTAAAGAGACTTGCCGGTAACAAGATTGAACTAGGTATGATGATACCGACGATCGAATCTCGGGCAAGTAACATACCGATGACAAAGGGAATAACCTATGTTGTTATGCGGTTTGACCGATAAAGATCTTCGTAGAATATGTAGGAGTCAATATGAGCATCCAGGTTCTGCTATTGGTTATTTACCGGAGATGTGTCTCGGTCATGTCTACATAGTTCTCGAACCCATAGGGTCCACACGCTTAACGTTCGATGACGATTTGTATTATGAGTTATGTGATTTGATGAACCGAAGTTTGTTCGGAGTCCTGGATGAGATCACGGACATGACGAGGAGTCTATAAATGGTCGAGAGGTAAAGATTCATATATTGAACGGTTGCATTTGGACATTGGAATGGTTCCGAGTGGTTCGGGTATTTTTCCGGAGTACCGGGAGGTTACCGGACCCCCCCCCCCCGGAGAAGTTATGGGCCTTATGGGCCATAAGAGGGAAGCACACCAGCCCACAAGGGGCTAGTGCGCCCCCCTTGGGCGGGAGACCGATTAGGACTAGGAGAAGGGGGCCGGCCCTCCTTTCCTTCTTCTTCTCCCTTCCCCCTTTCCTACTCCGTGTGGGAGGTGGAATCCTACTATGGCTAGTAGAGTGCCCGTGCGTTGCCACGGCCTCTTAAATTTTTTTACAAGAGTTACAAGTTAAATTTCACATGCACAAACAATATAACACAAACACAATTACTGAATAATTGAAGTCCATTTTGCAATGAAAATTGATACCAAAAAGAAAGACTAACGATGTTTCTCACCTGCCTCGTAGATGGTCTGGAGCAAGCATGCAATATATGTAAGCATTTATCACTTGTAGTCAACATTTAGATTATATATATATATATATTACAATATTATATTTCATTGCAATTATTAATTACAAAGTTTATGCAGTTGGTCTTACACCATCGTGTAAGAACATATCATCTTTCAAAAGGCATTCCAAATCGTCCGTTGATAACAAGATGTCCACGAACAAGGTTTTCTTGGAGGCAGACATGATTGATTCGATGACTGAAATATCTCTAGGGGTACAAACATAGTCTGTCGACGTCAAAAAAAAGTGAGCCAACTTAGACAATAAAATGAGCCAAATTAGTTGAATACGGAAGGCAATTTCACAAAGAAAATATTGATAATAACATCAAAGAAATACCTTGTGCGATAACATTTGGCATCCTTTTTTGGTTTGTTATGAGATATCACCGCTTCGACATCATTATGTTGTAAAAAACTCGGTGAATTTATTGTCCCTTTCAGTAACTTCGCATCGGAACCCTCAATGGATTCTTTTTGTGCATATCCAAAATCCATATCCATGTCTCCTATATTCTGAAGAAACAATAATATACCTTTCGTATTTGCATGTACAATATACATACCGAGGAAGGTTAGCTATATGCACCTCTTCTCGTGGTGTTTCAGTGCGGTCTGTCATTGTTACATCAGTGAATATGTCGGAACCCATCACTTTGTATCTATGATGAAATATATATGATCAAATATAAATGATATTTTCTACTGCATAATACTCCCTCCTATTTTTTTTAGTCTACGTATAAATCATATCACGCATACCAAGGAGACCTACTTGTAATTTTTTTTGGACGAAATTGCCCCTGTGCTAGTTGAATTGCAGTGACCAGGAAAGCTGGGAAGCTATGATCACCGAAGCCAGTTATTGGCTCGTCCTCCTCGTTTCCTCTGCATGGCTGTTATTGGCCCATTCTCCTTTGCATGTGCTGCATGCACGGTCAGTAATTAATGCACAGGAGGAGGTAGCGTTGCATGCGGGGCTGAAGATTAGGATAGACTTGGAAGAAACCGCTACAAATCAGGATCGCGCAAAGTATTGCGGAAAAAACAAGAAAAACTTATGTGCAGAGTAAAAGGGATCGGAGGGAGTATAATCATATATAATATCTGGAAAAATAAAAGTGAAACTGACACAACTATTTTCTCTATAAAAAAACATAGTTGACATTATTAGGAAAATATGTTGATTAAATAATTGTACTAACACAAAATTTGAGGAAAACAACAAACTAATGTTCATATATAAGTAAATAGTCATATGAAAATTATTTAAATTATTAATATAGGCCATGAAAAATTGTCCAACAAAAGAAAAAAAACATGCAAACAAACCTTCTTCAACCAAGTATATTTGTTTTGTCTCTCAATTTTATTGTGATACCCTATATGGCAGCTGTGATGATGCCCACCTGAAAGTGACATGTTGGGAGGCGATGATAAGTGTGGCGGCAAGGAATCCCTCAAAGAATGATTAGTGAACAATCAGACAACCCAACAGTCAC